AAATCTGATTCTTTTTTTTTTGTAGGTTTTGTTTTTTTTTTAATTTGCATGATCAATTGTAATATCAAAGTAATTTTATGGAATACCTAAAATGTTTTAAAAGTATGTTTGTCATGTGTGCCTTAATTACATTTTGTGTATAAAATTTAATTCACACACAGTACAAAATACAAGGTATTTTAGTGCCTCCTCTCATCCTGCAACGTATCTTCTTCTCTGTCTGCTGCTTTTGCCTTCTGCTTCAAACTGCCCTTGCAAACAAACCTACATCCATTCTTCCTGTGTCACTGTAAAACAGACAGAAACAGCCACAGTTAACCACGATCAATTGCCTCCCTCAGAAATTCTTGGGCTGTGTTAGCCCTTTGTCTAGCTATTGCGTTTTCATTTAAAATTAGGCTCTTTTAATTATGTAATAGCAGTTAATGGTTGTACCCGATGATTTTACAGGTCTTTTCCAACACAAATGACTGTACAGTTGCAGGATTCTATGATTTTTTTGAATGTGGCTTAATCTCTGACACAAATAGAGCAGTCTTGACAGTATTTGTGGCAAGATAATGTATGAATCAATATAAATGAAAAAAAACCCACATGCTGCATATATAGATATTTAACTTTTATGCTTTCAACTGTCACAGGTATTACCTAACAGTAAGAAAATTAACAAAAAAAAAAAAAAGGCAAATTTTTTTCCACAATTGATAATAAAGGTATTGATTTTATATCCTGCACAGCTCTCAAAATTACATTTTTATCTTTTCTAAGAAGCAGACTGATCATGGCTGTGCCTAAGGCAGCTATTGTGAAACAGTTGTATGTTCTCTTTCCTGTGTCATACTTACAATTTATAGACTCTGTTATTTGAAATTTACACCAGATTTCAAATTGAGGCTTCTCATCCTAAACATCCACAGGTCAACAGATGTTCTGAAGCAACCTGTTGGAACAATATCTAGAATTTTTCCTGAAAAAAAAAAAAAAAAAGCTGATAGCACCTGATATCTGCATTTCTTTCATGTTTCTGATCACCTTCTTGAGATTAAAAAAAATACCTTTAATTTGACTTTTTTCTTGTTTTATTTCCCTGATTGGCTAAACACGAAACAAGACTCCTTTCTAAAGCACTGGAGCAGAAAGATGTTTGGAAAAAGTTCAGCAATTTTTTTGGGCAGCGTCTTCAGGTAATTGCTTTTCCCAAAAGATGCACTGTTAAGAGTACCACTGGCTGCTTCTCTGTAAAAGGCTTGGAAAGACAAACATCCTAAGAGGAATGAGAAGAGGCCTGCTTGCCTTCTAACAAAATTCTGAATTCATCTCATGAATTTTTCTCACTTGGTTGACATTAAGAGTTTCCTTGCCTTGCATGTTCTTCAGTTCTTTTTTTTCCTTATTGCTCACTCTGTGATGTATAAGTCCTTCCTTTCTTCTCCCCTACTTGGTCTCAATGGACAATTAAATGCTTAGTGTAGCTTTGGGGAAAAAAGTCTTATCTGGAAGCAAGAATCCTCATAATTTATGACAACTGTCAAAACTTCAGGCACAGTTGTTTTAAAAGTCTTCGCTGATGAAATCTCTCACTTACAGTAAGGTCTGACCTGTGTGAGTGGTACAGCGCGTTTTTGAGCTTTGCTTCCATGCCTGGGGGGTACTGCAAATCAGAGGCTTCTGAGTATAGGTATGATGACTTGTGCCGAGGGACTAGGCTTGCACCATTTATGGACAAATTCTGGCTTACTGCAAAATGTTAAACCTCATAGGATTCCAGACAAAAAGTATTTTTGTGACATCAATTGTCATATTAAGAAACTGAACACCTTTTTTTGAACTTTTCTTTTTTTTTTTTTAATAAGGACTTACTTTTGCACATAATTTATGGCTGCTGTAAAATGTTAGGTAGGACACATGCCTAGATATTTGTGGTCAAAGCTAGATGTGTTCATCTCATATCAATGGGATGATAGGAACAGTGTGAGGGCCACGCCTCATTGCTTTACTCTGTAATTCCTCACTTGCCTGAGCCAGAGTCTACTGTAGTGGAGTGACTGGATCACTGCAGCCATGGGTATTTAGAACTGTGAGGTGGAGATGATTCTTTGCCATAAATACAGTTAAATGGATGAGGAAAAGTACTTTGTTTTTTGATAGGTGTTTCTTCTTGCTACACTTCCAGTGGGGATGTGTTGCTAGTTTAATGATGGATTGTGCTTCAAGCCACCTGTCAGTGAACAGATGCACAGGGAATTCACTCAATTTTATTTCTAAATCTGAAACTCTGTTTTTCTTGTCCTCAAACATTTCATGATTGCAGTCGGCAGCCCCTAGGAATTCTGGAATTAGGAATGGATACTTTAGTAGCTTTGGTGCAGTTCTAGTTGCTGTTTCCCTAAATATTCTGTACTAAGCAGTTTGTACTATTTTTAGTACATTTAATGTATTTTAATGCAGTTTTCTGCCATGGCCTTCAGATCTAATCTTAAAAGCTTCCTCTTAAATGTTGACATTGGAAAGAAGTTACTGTACTGGTGGTCCTGGTACAGGTGGCTACAATTTCTCTGCTCCTATTTATGTTCCAATGCACGGCTAAATTCCAGTTTTTAAATGCAGTCTGTAAAGTAAATTTGGTCTTGATTTCAGAATCCATTTAAAGTGAAAGATACATACAGTGAATTAGATATCAGACCTTAAAATATTCACCTTGAAAGCTGCCTGACTTCTTCATGTTTGGATGTAAATGTCAAGGGTAAAAAAAGCCCAACAAAACAGTATGGTGTCCCACTGAAGAATGACTCAGGACTTTCACCGAGAGTCATAAGATAGCCATGAATTTCCCCATCTGTTTTATCTATTGGGCCTCAAACAAAGGAGGACGTGACAAGATTCTGACAAGAACTTCATGGTTAGAGAATTCACCTGTAATTTAGGATTCAAATCATAAAATCCCACATGTGCTTGAGGGGACTTGAGGACTGGGTCATGTCTTTCACTACAGTGTCCTAAATTCCAAATAATGGGACACTTAATGGTTGGCATTCTCTCAACATCTACTGCTGAAGTCATTACAGGTCACATGAAAAAAAATTGCATATTTATTTTAGAGTGAAAATAGAATGTGTATTTTGGTGGAAAGGTTATGTGGGAAGCTTATTCAATAACGGGGGAGAGTTTGCTTCTGTTTTATGTTTCAGTTAATTTTAAATGTTTCAATAGAAAACATAGTAAAAGCAACTGATAAGATGGAGGAATCCATCTCGATCCCCAGAATAATCTATAGCTGTGTGACTGGGCTTGAATGTTGGAAAAATGACCCGTCAGGAAAGAGAAAGATTTAAAAGTAACTCAGATCAGTGGAAATTGTTTTAGCCACTAGGGCATTATGCCAGACAATAACCCACAGCAATCAAATTGGTTCGTGTATCTTGAGCAGTGACACTTTCCTGAACTGGCGTCTTTCTTTGATCTTAAGAATGCTCTGCGCATACATAAAATATTTCATGATAGCCATAAGGAATTTTAGTTCTTTAAATCATTTTGGTTTAGTGCAAAATTATTGATCCCAAGCTAGGAAATAAGGATAGAGCTGTGTTTCCTCTTTTCCTTTACTTCCTCCTTCCATGTTGTTGAAAATATTTTGAGCTAGACAAACAGCTGCACTGAGACCCTAATGGCTGAATGCATAAAGCAGCCTCATCCAGGCACACAAGTTGTCAGGACAAGATAGGATGAGTTCCAGACACTGAAGATCTTATAAGTGTCAAACTCCTGATAAGTGATTTCAGTGCCTGATCCTGCTGCATATGAAGTGACGCTTTAATTTGCAATTGAATGACAAAGTCCTCAAGTCATCCTTATCTCTCGAGTAATTGAAGTAAAACTGCAGTGTAGAAACTCATTATGATTATTCTGTGTCATTTTTCAACTTTGGAAAGGAATTTTTATCATTACATTGCTCTCTGGCATATTTTTATTAGCACTGAGCTGCAAAATGAGGCTCACACCTAGATTATATGCTTATATTTACAGATGAAATTGAAGATTAAAAAGAGAATGCATATTGCATCTGTGCTAATTCTTCAGAGCCTCTCTGCCTTTGATCTTTGCACTTTACAATAGTTTCTTTCAAACTCTTGTGAGAAAATAAAATATAGCCATTTTTTGTGTTATTTGTTGCTGTCCATACTAGAGCAAGAGATGGTTTTATAGTTATTTTACGAGTGAAGATTGATCTAATGAAGCAATTAGAGTAAGTTAAGATAAAATCCAATATCAGAAACTTCAAAATGGGAGACAAAATATTTTCTACTGTCTGATGTGCTTCTCTCTGTTTCCTGGAGCTGGAGAATGGTAATTTTTGGAGCACTTTCTGCCCTGTTAGAACTTGAAAGCAGAGCTGGAAGCCTTTCAAGAGATGTTTTTCTCTCTTTTGGGAGTTTGCAGAAGGGGCACTGGACACTGAGTAGATCAGGAACTAGCTGGCAGCTGTTACCAAATCATCTGCACATGCAGTAGGCTAGATCCACTGATAGCCTATGAGTACTTTATTTCCCTTTGCCTAAGAGAGGGAGCATTGCTCTTTTTTTCCCTACAGTGTCTGAGAAAGTAAGACATACCAGCATGTTCTCTGCATTATTTGTGATGCCATTTAACAAATTACCTTAGGAATATAGCACACAGAGAAATAAGACTCACAAGGAATGAGGAGAAAGGTGAGAAAGCATCAGGGCCAGGAGGGTTCTGATGTCTTTCTTCTGTAATGGAGGTATAATGGTGATGCTCCATGTCCTGATGCTCCTCAAGTCTCATCCTGTGGTTGGATGCATCAAAGGATGAGTTTAAATAAGAACCTGTTGGCAATGGAAGCACATAAACCACTATGAGTCTCTGGATTGTGAGCTGCAAAACAAGTGGAACAGATCCCAAGCTGAGCTCTGTAGCTCTGGGATGGAAAAAAAAGGATAAATTAGCTCTAAGCTGACCTCTTATTTTTTATCTCTTTCTAGAACTGGCCATTGTCCTATCTCTTGCACAAGATGTTTATGCTGGCCTCAGCTCTGAGATTGCTGAATCCCATATATGTGCCAGGTGAGCCCTCTTTCCCTTTGCTGGAATTCTTCCTTGTGGGAAAAACAATAGTAGGTCTTTACTTTAGTTATAGTGATAAATTTTGTACAGAAATTAGTGTCCTGACTTTTTGCTGCTACTTACAACCACCTGTGATCAATTTACAGCACACTGTATTGCTTTCTGACCTTAAGGGTGTCATAATGCAGCTTCTCCACATTTCTTAGAAGATTTGGTCTGCAAGTCATCCCCTATTCCTGGATTCTGGAGTGTATAAGAAAGAGTTGTTTTGGTTGCTGTTGAGACTGGGGTTTTCTCCTTTGCAGGAGCTTCTTTCTGGCTGAATGCAATATTTTCATGTCTGAGCTCTATTTGCACTGGGACACGAAAGAATGAGCCTTAGCTGTCCTGTCTGTGACCCCTCCCAGCTTCTTGTGCACCCTCAAGCTGCTCAGTGGTGGGGTGGTGTGAAGAACAGAAAAGGCCTTGGTTCTGTGTAAGCACTGCCCAGCAATAATGAAAACACCCCTATGTTATCAACAGTTTCCAGCACAAATCCAAAACATAGCGCCATATTAGCTGCTATGAAGAAAATTAACTACCCAGCAAAACCATCATAAAACCAGATGACCCATGCAATTATATGCTTGAGTTTGGAGAACGTGTTGCACAAATCTTTAGCTCATGACTATAGGGCAGAGATAAAGTCAGCAACATCAAATGATGGAAATGAATCTAGTGAGGAATTAACTTAGGCGTTGCCACTGTTGTAATGTCTTGTTCCCAAGGTAAATGGGACAGAAGACAGAGCCTCTCCCTTCTGCAGCAATGATAATGTTAAAAGGCTGATTATCTGTCCTCAGATTATCTGTCCTCAGATCAGCTCTTTTGGGGAAAGACCATGTTCTCCATGACTATCTGGTGCTGTTTTCTGGCATGACAGAGGGTCATTCTGACCTAGGTACACCCACTGCTAACAAAGTTAATAAAGCAGCTGAAGTTTATGACTTGGTATTACTTCATTTTTGGGAAGTCTTTGCCTCCAGAGGCACTGATTTGGGTTGAATTTGTAGGACATGGTCCAAGTTAGTGAGGAAAACTTCAGGGATTTGGCCTAATTACAAAGGTGTTTTCAGCCTGGGTACTCTAAATGAAGCTCCGCTAGAGCATACTTCTTGCAGGGGATTCCCTGGGAGACTCTATCCCTGTGCAGGTCATCCACATTATATGCCTTAGAATGAACAATCTGACAACTTTTACAAATATGCTATAAAGAGAGCTGAATGTGACTGGGGATTGATATACCTCCTCTGAGCAGAAAGACAGTTTATACATCCTACAGAAATTTGTTACAAAGTGGCACAACAACATGTGGAGGCTGCAGAAGGAGAGCGCATAGCAACTGGTCCTTTGGATAACAAGTTTCTCCCATTTTGCATCATCAAAAATGAATAGGATGGCTGGACAGCACTGAACTCCAGCCAGCCGCTACCTTACTCTTGTTCAGTTTTAAAACAGTTACCTTCATGCTCCATCACATTCCCCCTTTCAGCATCTCAGAAACATCTGCAACCTGTTTTATTGCCGTTTTCCAAATCTCCTTAGAGCACTGCCTTTCCCAATGCCTGTATAACATGATGATGGTTAAGCTTCTACTGTGCTGATAGCTCTATCATCTTAACTGACAGCACTACTTGCATTTCCCATCTGACTATATCTGCCAGTTGTAGATTACACTCTTTAACTCAGTGATAATTATTTTTTGTCCTGTGTTCGGAGAACTTCTCCAGCCAACAATAAGATGCTGTAGTGATAGAAATACTTTGGTGCTTGAGATACACCAGATTCAGCTTGTTTTGAACACCAAGAAGAATTAGAGTTAAGCAAGTATAAATGCAGTCAAAACATCATTTGTTTTAAATGCATTTAGGCAGAAATATAATGCGAGCAATTAGTTCCAAAGACACAAAGATAAAAGAAATTTTACCTGTTTAATAAAATGTTTTAGACTAGTGATAAGAAATATTCAATCTCCGTATATTTTTCTATATTTCAGGAAAAGAAATCAAACAACATAATTAAACCCAATATTTTACCCAATTGCAAAAATGGCATATTTCAGAAACCAGGCTTTGTAATATCAGCCTGTGCTACTCAGATGCTGAATTATACCCTCCCTTGCAGCAGGCAGACCCCCAAGAAGTTAGGCAGGCTGACCTCCTTCAGCAAGAGACTAGCTGTGCATCTCCAAGAAGGAATGTATCTTCTGGCAAGAAGAGCAAATTCTATTCTCTGGTGAAACTATAACTGATTTCTCAGTTTGCAGGAACAACAAAGTGCCTCAAGTACCTTTTACACAATAAATATTACAGAATTACAGTAACAAATTCTGATGACTGCAACAAAAAAGAGGAAAGCTTACAATCAAAACTACAAAGAAAGAGTTTCAGTGAAAATAAAGTATATGCTCCTGTAGTACAGAATGGGTCTGTAGGCATGCTTACGTTCAAAATGCAATAGACAGTGACATAGATTTCAATAAAATTTGTTACCCTATCTAGTTTTCTATTTTCTCAATGTGCAAAAAAGGAGTATGTGTACAAAGTATGAGAGCCTGGTCTGATTTACAGCAGTGTAAGTTAAAAAGGATCCCAGACCAAGTCCGAAACAACATAGGAATCATAGAATTTCTCCAAAGAAAACTGTCTTCAGGGTTGCAGTTAATAATAGCTAAACATCAGAGCAATTATTTAAACCATAGTCAAGCTTAGACATCAGTTTAGATCTTGGTCACTCTCTACTACACACTCATAAAATACACACTCAGAAACAGTCACTAGTCCAAAAAGAAAAAGGGAGACCATTGGTGAGGTGGCTGGCTGAAGGTGTGCCAGCACAGCCTGATACTGCAGAGTTGGGAGTAAGCCCCAGGACAGCCTAGGACCTGGCTAATGTGCTTGCTGCTGCAGTTTGCCAACCCCAGCTTTGTTATATCACAGCTTTCTACTTTCAGCTGAAAATCACAGAAAATCAAGAGTTTTCTAGCTTTCCTGCTAGTATTCCCAGCTGGAAATAGTATTCTCTGTTTTTTTTTTTTTCTCTTTTAAAAGCATTATTTTGATATTTTTTTTCTTTCAAGAGTAGCTGGCTTCTGGAAGTACAGAGTTTTGCAGCAATAACAAATAACCAGAAGAATATCAGTTAAAACAACATTTCTGACCCTTCAGAAAAGTTTGGTTCAGGTGTTTAATGCAAGGCCCAGCGGAAACCCTGCTGCTTGTACACACATGACACACATTTTGAGCACAGATGGCTGCATGTTTTCCTGCATAGCTGTACTGCCATAAGTAACCCTTTCCATAATGTTGCAAGAGGCAGGAAGAGAAAGACTGGACATAGTCCTAAAATATAACCTACTCCATTTATTTCAATGCCTTCAGGGAACGATTTCTTCAGTGGGCATAAGAGAGAGAGGAGTAGTTCCTTTCTCTCACATGGAAGTTCTTTCCACTTCACCTTTCCCCCGAACAGTAAATCCCAGCAATACCAATGATTAAAAAGGCGATATGAACAGATGGACTTTTCTAATTGCTGTCCTGCTGCAGCTTATTAAAATAGTAAGACACTTTATTTATGTAGCACCTGCCTATGAAATCATCCTAGACTTTAAACATAGAGAAAAGTAGATGATAAAAATAAATATGCACAAGAGGAAAACAGAAATCATTAAACATAACTCAAAATATTAAACACAGCCAGTGTGCCTTGAAAGCCGCATTATGATTAAAATAATCCCATAAAGCTAACTTCCTAAAAAAGCCTTTTCCAAGTACCTTTTCAAGTCCCAGGAGAAAAACCTTATCCAGTGCACCAAAGACACAAGAACAAACATACAGACACTTGTCAGCTTTTGCAGTGTTAACGCAACACATTTTTAAGCTCTCAGAGGAAAAGACCCTGTGACTGTTATTTACATTACTTTAGTGCCTAGGAGGTAAGAGCAGCCAGGGCTAGATCTCCATTAAACTAACCACTGTGCTCATATAACACACAGCAAGAGGCAAGGAACAAACCCCATGCTGGGAGGGAACCACTCCTGCCATCCCACCAAGTCTTTTGCCTGAACAGTGGCAGCTCACAACTTCACATCCAGAAGTCCTTCCTTTCATTTCATTAATGGGGAACCTTTTCTCACAGTCAGAAATGGCTATTGCAAAGAGTAAAAACCCATGTCACAGGTAATTTGCAAGCCCTATAAAGGTGGAAGGGAAGGGAAACCAGAGAGACAGGAGGTTACTTTCACAAATTCAGTCTCCAAGACAGTGCCAAAGATAGAAATAAAAGTGAGATCCCCCATGCCTAAGCTTAAATCTCTCTTCCTGGCACCTGACAAGAGCTATGACAGCTGATTGTAAATATGACAGCACAACTTGGGAATCAAGCTGATACTAAACTACTTGACCCATGAGGAAATTCTTGATGTAACACATAATTGTAGTGGTAGCCAAAAAAGTGAATCCAGAGAAGAATTTCATATTCCCTTCTCAGGCTGCATAATTGTAATTCTATGATTCCACCCTATAATAATTACTGCATTTTGGACAAGATGGCCTGAAGTAGTTCAGGAAAACCATGTTGTTACAGTCTGACCTTGAGCTCATTCAAATGAGCATCCTATGAATATACAACATAAAAAGTGACAGCCAAGCAGTCTTCTTGAGAGGGGAAACCCCAGATGTGGACACAAAGCTCACTGAGATTAAATCTTGGTCCTTTTGAAGTCATCAGTATTTTCTTTCTCTATATTTTCCATAACATCATCTCATACACAGGAAACAGCCTGGATTTCTCCTGTAGACTGGATAGTAGATCTTGTGCTGTACAGAAGTCACTTAGAGGCGAGCAGTCAGCTGAGGAGGCACCTGCATCGCCCAGCCCCATTGCCAACACAGGCAGGTGTGCAACAGCACAGAATGTTGAAGCACTGGTATAGGTCCAATTGCCTCTTTTAGAAGCCCCTTAAAATATAACTGAGAACATTAAGTATTGCAGCTAATTAAATAGAAATAGGTTTCTGGATACATTATCACACAAAAAGCAAAATGATTTCTTCTTACATTATGCATTATGTAAATTTATGTATGTTTCTGGCCTATACCAAGCATCTATTGAAAACTAATTCCCTCAAGTTCCTTCCCCAGTCCTTCCACTGGCCAAACCTGTCACTTCTGAATGACCCAGCTTTTGACAACACAAGTGGAACCTGGGGAATTACAGACCAGTCAGTCTCACCTCTGTGCCTGGCAAAATCTTGGAGCAGATTCTCCTGGAAGGCATGCTAAGGAACATGAAAAACAGCAAGGTGCTTGGTGACAGCCAGCATGGCTTCACTAAGGGGAAATCCTGCCTGACCAATTTGGTGGCCTTCTATGATGGGGCTACGGAACTGATGGACAGCAGTAGAGCAGTTGATGTCATCTACCTGGACTTGAGCAAAGCATTCGACACTGTCCCACACAACATCCTTGTCTCTAAATTAGAGACATCAATTTGATAGGTGGACCACTCAGTGGATAAAGAACTGGCTGGATGACCACATGCAAAGAGTTGTGGTCAATGGCTCAATGTCCAGCTGGAGACCAGTAACAAGTGGTGCCCTTCAGGGATCGGTGTTGGGACCAGTCTTGTTTAACACCTTTGTTGGGGACATGGACAGTGGGATTGAGTGCGCCCTCCGCAAGTTTGCCGATGACACCAAGCTGTGTGGTTCGGTTGATACGCTGGAGGGAAGGAATGCCATCCAGAGGGACCTTGACATGCTTGTGAGGTGGGCTGATGCCAACCTCATGAAGTTTAACCATGGCAAGTGCAAGGTCCTACACCTGGGTCAGAGCAATCCCAGGCACAGCTACAGGTTGGGCAGAGAAGAGATTCAGAGCAGCCCTGAGGAGAAGGACTTGGGGGTGTTGGTTGATGAGAAAATGAACTTGAGCTGGCAGTGTGCACTCACAGCCCAGAAAGCCAACCGTATCCTGGGCTGCATCAAAAGGAGCGTGACCAGCAGGTCGAAGGAAGTGATCCTGCCCCTCTGCTCTTGTGAGACCTCACCTGGAGTATTGTGTGCAGTTCTGGTGTCCTCAACATAAAAAGGACATGGAACTGTTGGAACAAGTCCAGAGAAGGGCCACGAGGATGCTCAGGGGACTGGAGCACCTCCTGTATGAAGACAGGCTGAGGAAGTTGGGGCTGTTCAGCCTGGAGAAGAGAAGGCTGCGTGGAGACCTCATAGCAGCCTTCCAGTATCTGAAGGGGGGGCTATAGGGATGCTGGGGAGGGACTCTTCACTGGGGACTGTAGCAACAGGACAAGGGGTAACGGCTTAAAACTTAAACAGGGGAAGTTTAGATTGGATATAAGGAAGAAATTCTTTCCTGTTAAGGTCGTGAGGCACTAGAATGGGTTGCCCAGGGAGGTTGTGAATGCTCCATCCCTGGCTGTGTTCAAGGCCAAGTTGGATGAAGCCTTGGGTGAGATTATTTAGTGTGAAGTGTACCTGCCCATGGCAGAGGGGCTGGAACTAGATGATCTGAAGGTCCTTTCCACCCCTAATTATTCTATGATTCTAAATGAATAGAACTGCAACTTGTCATTCCCAGTCCTGTGGTAAAGCAAATGAGTGGAAGATCGCTGCCTAGTATCAACAGTATGAGGGGCCAAATTTTAGCAAGACATCTTTAAATGTCAGTGCTGGGGAAAAAAATGAAATGTATTGACGCTACCAGTGACCCTATGATCTCTATCCAGAGCTGAAGCAGGGCCTCATGAGAGCTCCCTGACAGATTTAGGCATCTCTAACTTGCTCTGATGCGGAACACTCCAGAACAAACATGATGAGAGCAGAACCACTCAGTGGCAGCACTGATGCCTGGTGAAATCACCATACCAGAGGCAACTGAAGTCTGAAAATACTGACAAGGGCTCTTCTGACCTTCTGTGATAAGAAAGCCATTACTGAGTGACAAGTGGAGTCTATGACTTGACTGAAGCTGGATTGAAATTCTCAGTATAAATCAATGCTCCTCATACACAAACAACGAATCTGGAGACACAGCAAGGCACCTGTATTTCACCAGTTTTGCAGCTTTCAGATCACTATCCCTGAGTGAAACAGAGTTCATAAAAGTGAACAAATTGGTCAAGTTCTATGTATTATACCTCCACTGGCATGTTTGATTTTTAAAATCCACATCTTTTCAGAAATAATTTTGTAATTTGAGACAACAGTTCCTTGCTGTTTATACTACCATAGCAATTAGTATGCATGAGGCAGCTCACAGCCTCAGAAACGTATGAAAAGATGGATAAAAAATAGAAATAAATATAGAAAAAAGACAGTGAAAATCGATTAGGAAAAGAAGTGTTCTGTAGCCTCATCAAAACATCAGAGGAGCTGTGAAAGAGAAGATAGTGGTGAAGCAGTAGAAATGGAGGGGAAAGTTGTTGTTACACACCTGTGATGTATATAGCTAAGTTAGTTTAATGTACATAATTTGATTTCTACACTTTCAAGCTTCCTTGACTGTATTCTGTGGAAAATGGTTATTTTGTAGCAGCAAGGCATCTTACGGGTGTCCTCGTTTAAGCCCAGATGGCAACTCAGAACCATGCAGCTTCCTTCCTTCCTTCCTTCCATTCTTTTTTTCCCCTTCCTTCCTTCCTTCCTTTCTTTTTCTTTCTTTTTTTCTTTCCTTTCTTTACTTTCTTTCTTTTATTCTTTCTTTCCCCTTCCTTCCTTCCTTTCTTTTTCTTTGTTTCTTTCTTTTTTTCTTTTCTTTCTTTCTTTTCTTTCTTTCCTTTCTTTCTTTTATTTTCTTTCTTCTTTCTTTCTTTCCTTTCTTCCTTCTTTCTTCTTTCTTTCTTTCCTTTCTTCTTTCTTTCCTTTCTTCTTTCTTTCTTTCTTTCTTTCTTTCTTTCTTTCTTTCTTTCTTTCTTTCTTTCTTTCTTTCTTTCTTTCTTTCTTTCTTTCTTTCTTTCTTTCTTTCTTTCTTTCTTTCTTTCTTTCTTTCTTTCTTTCTTTCTTTCTTTCTTTCTTTCTTTCTTTCTTTCTTTTTCTTTCTTTTTTCTTTCTTTTTTCTTTTTCCTTTCTTTCTTTCTTTTTTTTTCTCTTCTTTCTTTCCCTTCCCTTCCCTTCCCTTCCCTTCCCTTCCCTTCCCTTCCCTTCCCTTCCCTTCCCTTCCCTTCCCTTCCCTTCCCTTCCTTTCTTCTCTTGATCAAAACTAAAACTCATTCAGTTTGAAAGGGGGGGCTTATTGCTGTGACTGGAAAAACAATGTTGTGTGTTATATCTTTCCCTGGGCACCTTTACACATAAGGCTCATCTAGCATTATTCAGCATGTCACAGGGACAAACAGTTACTTCCAGATAACAACCTGCCATGTTCTTCTCACAAACAGTATTGTGTTTTGGAGGCTTTGGAAGCCAAATTTAGCAGTATTCCAGAGTATGTTTAACAAAATGTAACTATAGCAACTAAACCTTCACCACCAGATGATAACACAATTTGGTTTTAAATGAAACAAAAAACTCCCACAAAACATCTCCCCCTCTTGGTCCAGCACTTACACATGCTACACAGCATATTGTCTACAAGCTGGCTACCTGCACTATTAGATATTTAGATTTAAAAATACACCTGAACAAGGCAAATTGGTGTTGTTACTTAGAAGAAAAGGAGTGTTGCGTCTTTTCATAGAACTTATGCCTCACCAGCTTTATGTGTGTCACTGCAGTGGCCGTTCTGCTTGCGATTGCTTTTTATTTTGTATTTCCCAGGTGCCACACGGTGGTGCTCCTGACTCCCCATCACTCAGAGGCCTGAGAGGAGTTACAGTGTTTGTATCAAAACTGGTTTAGGAGAGAAGGCTAGCACTCAGCTCTGCAATGAAGGTGAGTCATGCTATGGGATGAGGGAAGTACTTTTCACCCAGGACTTGGCTACTAAGTTAGATATGGGAAGAAAGAGTTGAATAGTGACAGCTGGTAAAAATCCTCAGTATTATGCATGTATGCACACATATACACACATTCAACCTCTTTTACACTTGATTACTATGTGAATTTTGGATGCCAGCTTTATTTTTGGTAGCTACCACGCCTTCCCATTTTCTCTCTTTGATCACGATAAGATTCATGTAGGCTCACAGCTCAGCATCCTCCTGGGAGCAAGGACAGCATACTTTTGTCTAGGTCTATGAAAAAAGATGCAGAAAAGCAAAGCAGAGGGAGGAGAGATGAACCACTTTCTCCATCTAAGGAGTGGCCAGTATAGAATCAGGAGTTGCCTTGGTGGCCCCAGGAAGGATCCCCAAACTGGAGGGCAACCAGCAGTGGTGTTGGCCTGCTGTCAATTGAAAGATGTGTAAGGAAAGCTCTGTATCTAAATGGACATCCTCATCTGTATGAAGCCCATACATAGCTCACTGAAACAAACAGGAATGATTTCATTGCCTTGTGTGTACTTTGAATCTGGTCCTGTAAACTGTAGTGTCCTGCCAATTAAAGTTTAGCTGGAAGTGTTTAGGAATTCACTTCACCTCCCATTGCGGGTCTCTGATAGCGTTACAGAAACTTGGATCAGGCATTTAGATATTTATGTGAGTCTTGCTTTTAAATTGTGGGAAGCCATCTTTTTGATCAATCCTTAAAAAAATGATTGAATGCACGATCTACTTGTGTTCTCCTTTCATTATTTTGTGAAAGTTTAATTCAATTTATATAGTGTAGTGCACTGATGTGTGATCTGAAAGAGGAGCTCTAGTGAAGTACATGTATATGCTACAGTATGAACATTTTAGGGAGCCATGTTGTCTATACCAACACTGTATTCTGAAATGTGTTATTAATAGCATAACTTTTTAAAGGTTTGTCTTTTCTGTCTTTGCATGTCTTTGTATTATTTATATAATTTATGTAAATGTTCTATAAAGCCATAACCTGACTGTTGGAGAAAATGAATATGTTTTTAAAAATACTTTGTGTTCAAATTATGGACAAATCTAATAGCCTTATGAAATGTGATCCCCTGCATCTGAGGAAGTTACTGACAGATCAAGAACTAAGTTAAGCAGAATTCTTTAATTTGGAGAATCACTTACAATTATATTTAATAATAATAAAGTAGTGAAGTTTACAGATGGAAGCTGGTCTTGAGTAAAAAACAAGACATTACCAGACATCGCCAGGAAGCACCTGTCTACAGTATATAAATGGACTGGGGGATAAAAGAGGAAGCATTAACCCTGCACATGTCTGACTAGTAAGAGCTTTGCACTTCAAGTGCAATGTTACATCTCAAAGACAAGTCACAAGCAGACATTTGCTACTGATGTTAGTTTTTGAAATGATGAATTTGTGCTCACTGGCAAGAAATTGTGATCACAACTTTTTTCTCTGGGATGGAAAGAAATGGAATCCCCCCAGACCAAACGAGTGACCTCTATGTTGTCTTTATTCAATGATCGTATAAAATTCACAATAAAATCAGATCCTTGCCCACCCAAATCCTAATGAATACATTAAAGCATAAAAGCTTGGTGCCAAAGAAAATAATAAAATGTACATAGCTTTGCTATATATGCATATGTATATAGAATCATAGAATCATAAAATAATTAGGGTTGGAAAGGACCTTAAGATCATCTAGTTCCAACCCCCCTGCCGTGGACAGGGACACCTTACGCTAAATCATATCACCCAAGGCCTCATCCAACCTGGTCTTGAACACAGCCAGGGATGGAGCATTCACAACCTCCCTGGGCAGCCCATTCCAGTGCCTCACCACCCTAACAGGAAAGAATTTCCTCCTTATATCCGATCTAAACTTCCCCTGTTTAAGTTTTAACCCATTACCCCTTGTCTTGTCACTACAGTCCCTAATGAAGAGTCCCTTCCCGGCATCCCTATAGGCCCCCTTCAGATACTGGAAGGCTGCTATGAGGTCTCCACGCAGCCTTCTCTTCTCCAGGCTGAACAGCCCCAACTTCCTCAGCCTGTCTTCATACGGGAGGTGCTCCAGTCCCCTGATCATCCTCGTGGCCCTTCTCTGGGCTTGTTCCAACAGTTCCATGTCGTTTTTATGTTGAGGACACCAGAACTGCACACAATACTCCAGGTGAGGTCTCACTAGAGCAGAGCAGAGGGGCATTTTGCCAGCTCCTTCAGGACCTGCGGATGGATCTCATCAGGACCCATTGGACTTGTGCACATTCAGATTTTTAAGATGGTCTCAAACCAGATCCTCTCCTACAGTGGGCCCAAGGTCTTCATTCTCACAGTCCCTGCATCTGCCTTCCAAGACTTGGGTGGTTTGGTCAGAGCCTTTGCCAGTGAAGACCGAGGCAAAGAAGTCATTCAGAACCTCAGCCTTCTCCAAATCCAGGGTATCCAGTTCTCCCAAGAGCTTCCTGAGGGGGCCTGCATTCTCCCTAGTCTGTTTTTTATTTGCTATGTACTTGTAGAATCCCTTCCTGTTATCTTTAATACCTCTAGCTAAGTTTAATTCTAACTGGGCCTTAGCTTTCCTAAGCTAGTCCCTAACTTCTCGGACAACATCTCTCTACTCTTCTCAGGCCACCTTTCCTTGCTTCCACTTATTATAAGCCTCTTTTTTCATTTGAATTTTCCTCAGGAGCTCCTTATCCACCCAAGGAGGTCTTCTGGCCCTCCTGCTGCACTTCCTTCTGGTTGGGATGCAACACTCCTGAGCTTGTAGCAGGTGATCCTTGAATATCAACCAACAGTCTTGGGCCTCCCCTGCCCTCTAGGGCTGTATCCCATGGAACCTTACTAAGCAGGATCCTGAAGAGGCCAAACTCTGCTCCTTTGAAGTCCAGCACAGTGAGCTTGCTGCATCCTCTTCTCACTGTCCTGAGGATCTCAAATTTAACCACCTCGTGATCGCTGCATCCAAGGCTGCCCAAATGTGTCACATTTCCAACGAGCCCTTCCCTGTTGGTGAGCACGAGGTCAAGCATGGCACCTCTCCTTGTCGGCTCCTCTATTACTTGCAGAAGGAAGTTGTCTTCTACACAACAGAGGAGCCTCCTGGATTGCTTGTGCCGGGCCGTACCGTCCTTCCGACAGATGTCAGGGTGGTTGAAGTCACCCATGATAACAAGGGCCTGCGAGCATGAAGCTTTTCCTATCTGTCTATGGAGTGCTTCAGCCCCAGGTTCTCCTTGATCAGGCAGTCTGTAACAGATCCCCACAGTAATGTCTCCCATAGCCATATTCCCTTTAACCCTGACCCACAAAATTTCTATTGACTGCTCACCTGTCCCCAGACAGAGTTCCATACTCTCCAGCCTATCCCTAACATACAGGGCAACTCCCCCTCCCTGCCTGCCAGGCCTGTCTTTTCTAAAGAGCCTGTAACTTTCCATTCCAACATTCCAGTCGTAGGAGCCATCCCACGTTTCTGTGATGCCTATTATATGATATCTATATCATACTATATTATATTATATATATCATATTATATCATACCCCCGTAGACATGCACACATCTCTAATTCCTGTATATATATATATGTGTATATATATATATATATATATATATATATATACTGGTGAAGATTTGGAGGGTTTATTTCCCTTGTTTATCTCCTAGAATGTATTAAAAGATTAATATTTTACTGTTCCCGAATCAGAAGATACTGTGGAGGACTGGAATAAACTCTAAATAATGAGTCAGTCCCCAAAAGATGAATTCCGGAAATCATTAAAAATGCATAACTGTGTAGGAGGAATGCAAGTTTACAGAAACATGGAACCAATGTGTCCTGATGCAATCAGGATTGTTTTCTGCACTGGCTCACAGCTGACTTCCAATGCCATTTTAACATCTCAGTGCAGATCTCATACCCAGATCTTGGGTGTCTTCCCCTCTTAGGCAAGAACTGCATATATACGCATGCCTGAAAGGACTCCTTGGAAGCCCTAGAACCTACATTTGCTCTTTCTATCCTAGCAGGGTGTACCCTTAGTTCCTCCTGGATCACAGCTCAGCCCACGTGCATGTATCACTTTGTGCTCCTCTCCTGCTGCCAAGGGGACAGCACATCTCTAAGGTTTGCTGATTCTACCACATTCTCTGGCAATAGACAGCTTGAACAGTAAAACATATAGTTGGTTTGCTTACATGAAGACAAAGGATTGAAAACAAAAGGTTACAAATAAAGCAATTTTAGTGCTTTCTTTTGCATGCCTTCTCAGTTGTTCCAACATATTTCATGGAGAATGCTGCTCTGGGGGTTAGCAGTGGGAGGTCTGGAAGTCCAGGTCTCTTGCATATATTCTGTTATCTGAGTACTGAATAACTTTTCTCTGTTTTCCTGCTTAGATGTACTACACTGAGTTTCTCCTTGATTCACTGCAAATGGAGTATTGAAGGCTGGGAGAGAGGGAAGGTAAAAGGGTAATGGTCAGGAGGAGATATATTGTCTTTGCCATTTTCAGTTTTTCACTCTGCTCTCTGATACACCTGCTTTGCTGGATGCCTTTGTGTTTTAACTTATAATGCTATTTTTCATGCCTAAATTGTTGTGGGTAGTTTCTTCCAGTTTTGTTTTTTCTTTTTTTTTTTTTTAATTTACATTATTAAGATAATACTTGCTGAAACTTCTCCATAATATCTGTGCAGTTGATGATCTCCCATACCATACTAATTTTCTAAACAGATTGCACAAAGGCATTTTAATGAACTTACTTAGAACAGACAGAGGATGTTTACATTTGATACATCCATGTAAGTGAAAGCCACATGTCTTTTTCAGTATTTATTCTTGGGGTTCATGGTCTAAACCACTGTTTTCCCTTAGCTCCCTTGCTCTCATTTTCCAGAAGGGGAATATAATCAAACGATTATATTGGGTGATATTTGA